AATTGCTCGAAACTTATCCACATATAGAATCACATGTCGATGCAATTTTACCGAAAAAGGACACTTTTAGAATTGTAAAATGCCACGATCATATCGAGATAATGGTGAATGGACAGGGAGAACTATTGTTCTTTCGCCACCGAGAGGGTTCTTGGATGCCGACTTTAAAATTGTTACATAAATACCCATTTTTCTTGCCTATGCAGCAAGTTGATAAAGGAGCTATCAGATTTGTTCTATCAGGTATAATGGAATAGAAATAATTTGTGCAAAATCGTATTGCATAACTATCAATATTATATATATATATATATATATATATATATATATATATATATATATATATGTTTAATTTGAGTTAAAAAGTCAGGTGTTACCAATTTTTAAAAAGAGTTTTTAAAAATTTATTTATTTAAAATCCATACGTTTTGGCTAGCATCTTAGCCTTCATTAAATTTTGTATCCTAATATAACATATGAAACCATTATTAATTCATGGTATGAGTATGTGCACATTGATAATATATATATATATATATATATATATATTATATATATTTTAACATCACAAATGGTAAAACACACAAATAAACATACTTAACAAGTTGTCGAAATTATGTATTTACTGTTCGGAGTTTAAGATAGAAATGTTAGGATGTTGAAATGTAGGGCATTTCTATTTTAAACTCCGAATTTTAACTCATCCATTACGATTGAGTCATGTTTATTCATATCCCTCTCTTTGTTTCAGGTGCAAATATCATGTGCCCCGGTTTAACTTCCCCTGGAGCCTGCATGACTCCAGCCGAGAAAGGAACAGTTGTTGCCATAATGGCAGAAGGAAAACAACATGCTTTAGCTATTGGTATTACTTCCCTTTCTACAGCCGATATTGCCAAAGTGAATAAAGGCATCGGAGTGGAAAATTGCCATTACTTAAATGATGGACTTTGGCATATGAAAGCTGTTAAGTAGATGTTCTTTGTATTTTATAAATGTTCATACTGGATAAAGTAAGTTTTAAATAATAAATTTGTAAATTATTGAAATTTATAATTACTGTCTTATTACTAGTTTTAAGTTTGATTTCAAGATGTGTGGTTTAGGTTGATTTGAACTTTCGTATCGGGTATGATTCTGGTGACCTCAATTTAAGGGGTTACACCACTGTAGCAGCCAAATAAATTGGATATTTTTTTCGGGCGTATGGAAAAGTGATAAAATCATGATATTAAAGATAGTTATTTATTGTACCTTAAAGTAAAAAAATAAGATATAATTGTACAAAAATAATATTAAAAACGGCGGTACCACAGCCATTTCGCCGAGCCGCGTCAAATTGGAGGCGCTCCGCGGCACGCAAAATAATTACAACAATTTTTATTTTTTTTTATTCGAATTTTCTACAGTATATTAAGAATAACATCTTGAAGTGTAACATATAGAAAATCCGATATGTTGGGCATGTAAAAATGTAATTTTAAATATACTGTAAAAAATTCGAATGAAAAAAATTAAAATGCTGTAATTATTTTGCGTGCCGCGTTGAAAAATCGTGTTTCGAGAAAAACGCGTTTAAAGTTTTATTTGTCTGTTTAATTTTTTTACTATTTATCTGATATCCCAGCAACATACAGATACCTTTTTATATTTATAGTTTCTTACTTATTTTCTTCCCTTAATGATAATATTAGAGCATCCTACTTTTGGCGCATCCATCAAAGACCGTTTCGGCTTGCTTAAGCCGTTTATAATCGACTTTAAGACAAAAATTACATGTTGAGATGCAAATATCAATCTCTAAAACTGATATCATTTACAAAATATTAATTAGACCATCGTTGAAAATATCCAGCAATATCAGCCGCAATATAGTCAACCCAGTTATATGTGTTGTGCCAATTTGCAGAATATGATGAATTCACAATAAATAAAAGACTTACACATTACATAGAATATATTTATGAACAATCAGACGTAATTTACAATAAAATGCAAGTGTTTTCTATAATGGTTGAATTGAGACTGATGATGAACTGTCCTTGCTTCTCTGTGGCGGAAACAGTGTCGCCAAAGGGGTACCACAGTGTTACTAATCCTTTAGTGTTACCACATGTTGTTTTATAATAAGGGATGAATCCGAGAGATGGCATAACACCTCCCCCCTTGATAAGATTTTAGTTCGTATAACATTTTAATAAATTTAATGAAGACTCAATCACAAAAATTTCTAAAATTGGAATTTTTTTCATATATACATAAAAGATATAAAAACTTGAAAATTTAAAGAACAGAACATAACTATAAACTAACAAAAATAAACACAATTAATTTAACATAAGTCAAATACAGAAATAATCATTAATCTTAAATCTAATGTTATTTAAACAAATATTAGAATTAGATATATAGAAAAACATAAACACAGAACATTGCGAACTAAAATCTAACTTAGACATTTGAATATTAATACAGTTGAGATAGATTTCATAAAGTAATTAGAAATTTATAGTGAGTAATTAGAAAATTAATTCATGAATATTTATTTAATATATATCATGATAGAATTTTGAATCAAAGAAACTAGATTTGTGATATAAAAATCAATTCAAAAATGAAATATTCGAAACTAAAGTTTTCATGACCAAACAGAATAGTAGTCGATAAATGAGTCTAAATATGAAAAATTTATTCAAAACATTGAAATTAATTGAGGTTTAAATCATTAAAATTCTTGAACTCAGTGAATATAGGATCATCGATATGAGGAATTTTCTTCGAAGAACACTCGAGACAAAATGAGGAGCATAGGATATGATTTGATATAGAATAGTCTTAAATAGAGTTTAAATGGTATAAAAATACAAATATATTTTTTATTTAAATTGATAATAAAGTAAAAATTTGATCAAAGATATATGTAGTAGAATTAGAAAATTGAGTTTTTCATCGTGCACTAACATCGATAACAAGTATTAAAAATTTGTAACATAAATAATCGATAGATTTCAAAAATTAAAGAAATTGTTATAAATATTAGATAGAATAAAATAATAATTTATCTTTGAATATCGAATGTAGAATCGAATTTGGAATAATTACATATTGAATGTATCGAGGAGTCGAGAAATGGAAAATTGTCTGGAGGACGATGATTACTAGAAATTTTTAAATAATTAATTGATCTCAAAGAGGATTGATTAGGATTTGGTAGAGTTTGATTAAGATATATTGAATTTGATTTAGGACTTAGTAAATTTTCATAAAGATTTGGTTGATTTTGATGAGGATGTGGTAGATTTTGATGAGGATTTAGCAAACCTTGATGAGGATTTGGTAGATTTTGATGAAGATTTAGTAAATTTTGATAAAGATTTGGTAAATTTTGATTTGGAACGTGGTTAAAATTTTGATTAGAATTAGGTTTAGTAGAATTTGGTAAAATTGGATTAAGTCTTGAATATTTTGAAAATTGGGAACTGGTATTTATTATTAATTCAGATATTAATATATCAATTAGAACATTGATAGAGCAATCTTGAGAACGTAGGAAATCTAGTCCCAGAATACCATCAGAAACAATGGGTATATCATCACTAATAACATTGAATAAATGCTCTTTAACAGCATCATTTATTAAAAATGAAAGTTTAGCAACACCGAGAGTTCTAAAACTATGTCCGGTAATGCCAGAAACTTTTATAATATTGTCTGAATTAGTTATAATATTAAGAGAGTCTTTTAAAGCTGATAGTTTTACTAGGCTAACGTCTGCGCCTGTATCAATCATTAAATTTAATTTTTCTGAAGTTGAATGCGGAGATTCAAAAGATTTAAAGATAGACATATTGCTAGAAGAAATTAAAGAAACTTGTGCCTTTTTTAATTCGGCGACAGTTGAGATATTAGAATTTGAACGTGAAGGTTTTGAATAATTAGAATCTGGAACATTAGAAGTTTGAGAAAAATTTGGATTTGAAGATTTTATATTAGAATTAGAACGAATTTGTTCTTTAAACATTCTCTTTTTGCATTCTTTGATATTATGCCCGATATTTTTACAATAATTGCAAGAAATAGTAATTGAATTCGAAGATTCTTGAAAATTGGAATAAAATGGAATAGAAGATTCGTGACAAGAAGACAAACGCTCTTCTTCAATGGCCGCACTAATGGCCTTCTCTAAACTTTGTAAATTTTTTGATTTTATTAAAATACGAAGATCTGGATGCAAACCTTCTTGAAATATATTCAGAGCTTGGTACCTTAACAATTCAGAAATATAGGGATCTTTTTCAGGATTTCGACTTTGGCGAGTTGTTGCCTCTATTAATTGTTCCAAAATATTAGATAATCTTTCGGAATAATCTAAAACTTTTTCGCGAGAACCTTGTCGACATTGGTTAAATTCAATCTGAAGCGAAGATACGGACCTATGATCTACAAATAATTCTTCTAAAGTTTGTTTAAGCTGTTTAAAATTTTCGATACTTCTGTATCGGACAGATTGAGCTGCTTTACCTTCTAATTTGACGTTGAAAATATATTTAAATAATGAGGAATGCTGAGAAGTTTCAATGGCGTCAAATGCATACTGGCAAATACGAAGAAAATCATTTAAATTGGAATTACTAGAACCATCAAATGATTTGATAATGTCTCTAGCTTCTTTCAAAGTTAATTCAGCCATTTTGTTTTGTTTATATAAACGAGTTTGAGGATAGGAAACAAAATTTGGCTTAGGTTGGAGTTTGAGTAAATGGAATGTGGAATGGAAATGTAATTTGATTTTGAAAAACTGAGTCCAATAAAATGAATGAATTATTATTACCTCTTAAAATATACTCCAAAAACTTGACAAAAATGGACTCATTTGATCTGCTCACTACTCGCTGCCGTGATAGATGAAACCTTTATCAAATCCTTCGAATATGACAACAGTAGAGTGTTGTAATCTAGATTATAATAAAACGATTAGTAAATTTTGTAAAACGTAGCAAATTATAAAAAATAGATAAAATTATATGAAAATAGAAGAGATAAATAAAATTAGAATAAATTTTGAAAAGATATAGATAAATAAACTTTGAATAAAATTTCTGAAACTCACTTACATAAATAATTAAATAATTATCACATAGAACACAGTAAAACTTAGAAGATAAGATATAGCAAATATAGTCAAGATAGTAAATTTAGTAAACTTAGTAAATAAGATATATATATCTTATCATTATTATAATAATGATTTTAAATTTAGTAAAACTTAGTAGATAATGTATAACAAAATAGTAAATTTAGTAAACTTAGCATAAAATTAGTAAATAAATTTTATCTTAATCACATAGATAAAAATGAAATTTTGAGATTGAGTCAAAAACTAAATTTAGTAAAAATATTGATACAATTTGCCTGAGTTGTTCTACTTATATTCCTGAATTTCATAATGGCGTCTTTCGGCGTCACTTCCAGATAGCATCCTTTAGCATAAAACGCTGTAATGGCGAATTCCTCATGCGTCATGTGTACCTGGCATCGCTAAGAACTTTGGGTAGAGCTGCGCGTCCTTGTTTCCAGTTTTGGGGTCCGTTCACAGATAAGATTCTTGCGGATTTTTACCAGTGTCTTTATTTCGAATTATCACTTCTTTGGCCAATTTTTTGAATATTTTAGTTCGAATTTCACCGACTGCCACCATTTATGTTGTGCCAATTTGCAGAATATGATGAATTCACAATAAATAAAAGACTTACACATTACATAGAATATATTTATGAACAATCAGACGTAATTTACAATAAAATGCAAGTGTTTTCTATAATGGTTGAATTGAGACTGATGATGAACTGTCCTTGCTTCTCTGTGGCGGAAACAGTGTCGCCAAAGGGGTACCACAGTGTTACTAATCCTTTAGTGTTACCACATGTTGTTTTATAATAAGGGATGAATCCGACAGATGGCATAACATATGTATTGACTCTGCACTGAATATAAAAAATGTTAAAAAAAGCTTTTTCATGTTATTTATACAATATAAATGCTTTATAATAATATATTTTAGTATATTTGTGAATATTTTTTGTCATTCTGTATAGTTTGACTCCAGAATTGGAAAAAGTATGTGCACACACACATTTTTCTAGGTTATTCGAAAATGTTAAGAAACCTTCAAACGTGAATCTTCAATTTCGATTTTTGAACGATTACAATAACTACCTACAGGAAGTTAATCATTTTAATATCAAACTAGCTGACCCGGCAAATGTAACGTTTGCCGGGCAAACAAACGTTTGCTAAGTAAGATATATTCTAAACAATTTCTAGAGAATCAAAAATAATTAATAATTTTAGTGTATAAGGATGTGTTGTTTGAATGCTATATACAACGAGGTATTATAAAAACAATAAATCCCATTAGTTTGTCTATATTTTGTCAATACAATCGAACTGGAAGTTTTATACACTTTCCATAGAAAACATGTTATAATCCAATCCAAGTCTTTTTTGGTCTTTCGACTTATTGATTACATTTCAAGTTTTTCAGATTCTTTTTAGATTCTGGATTTTGTGTATAATTGTAAATAATACTTCTGAGCTTATACAAAATTTTCAAATTTCTGCGAGGAGAAATAGAAAATGAACTAAGAATTTCTTCTTTGACCTGCTTCTTGAAAAGTTTTAAGTAACATTCGATGAATTAAAGTAAATTTAATAAAATGTATATATGTAGAGCAAGGCGAGGCACAAAGGTCCAATTTGACTTTGAGCAAATATTAATTATATTATAATAATCAAGCCAATTATATAACAATAAATAACACATTTCAAACAAACAATTATCTGACTACGTTCAGTAAAACTGCCAGCTGCTTCATCATTGTAGAAGTGTGCTTTTTTCCTGTGTTTCAAAAATTTGTTATCTAGACCTTTTTACCCTATAGGCGGGGTAACTTGGAACGGCCAAGTGGAAAACAGGTTTAATGTCTTATTTTAATTTTGAAGGTATTTTTGAAAATAATTACATTTTTAACTAATGCTAAAAAATTACCAACGGAAGAAAATACTTATATTATGGATTTTCAAAGATTACCGTTTATCTCCCGATAGCAAAGTCATGAGAATCAAGGTTATTGCTGGTTATACATCTTTTTTCTTCTACTTTCAAATATTGTTGTTAAACAATGCTTAACTTTCATTTCATTTACTGGTTTTTGACATATAGCTGGTGAACCTTTTTAACCACGGACCTTCGTATATTACTATCTTTTCTTCGATAAATTCTGGGAAATTATAACTGGGAAAATGTTATTGTCCCTTTGATCAATACCAAATTTAGGTTCTGAATTTAAATAACATAAAAAAAATAATATAATCTAAAAAATGTTTTATATATACCAATGAGTATATAATTATACAAATGAGATCTTTCAGAATACCGTGTTTGAGAGAAATATGATTGCAAAAGAGAGTGCTACAACGCCAAAAAGTGTATTTTCATATTACATTTCAAAATAATTGATATTTTGAGTTTCTTGTAACACTTGCGGCCATTCTTAATATTTGATATAAATCCCTGTCCATAAATTTTGATACATTGTATCTTGCAGTCTTGGGCTGATACCAGTTAAGACCTCAATTAGTTTTCTCATCAAAAAGAGAATCATCGGAAATCTAGTTGGTTTAATAACTGACATACATATTTTGATTTTGGCATTTTGATAAGCCGTAGAATATGAGTGGAATGGAAGTGTTAAGCCGTTAGGGATATTTAGATAGACCTATAGTGTAAATTTAATATCATGCTTACTGATATCATGCTTACTTGACCGAAGTTATTTTCAATAATAAGTAAAATTTTCTTCAGAGTTTGCAAAACTTCATTAGACTAAACCATTTCGTGATTCTTGTCGTCTGTTAATGTATTACCCCCATACGACAAAGGTATCGGTCGTACAGAACATTTGAAATCCATCATTCATTTAACATATTCCCGAATGGAATAACAGAATTCAACCTCATTCGGCCTCATTCTATATTAACATTTGCATTAGAGAAGTAAGTTTTCGCTGTGCAAATATAACAACTTGAATTATTCAAAAGGGTTTCCGAAGTGCCGATTCCATTGCGAATATTTAATTCGCAAAGTGTCAATCAGTCCGCCAATCAGACAGACGCGGAGCGAATGTGTGAACTCGATGGAATAATGATGAGGCATTATCAATGATGAGGACCTGGACCAGGTAGAAGGTTGCAGGTCACTAATTAAAGTTAAGGGACATGAATTTGGAAAGGCAAAAGGAAAAGGAACTAGTGGTGTATGGCATCGTGCCTTAAGGCAAATTGCTGGAACTTACCGTACCGTAATCAAATTGTGGGGATCAAGCAGGCTAGTCATGGTGGAAAAAAACAATTTGACTTGTCATTTTATTTATCATTAATTTTTATAATCAATAAATTTTATATATTTTTATACAAGTGGAGTTTAGACTATCATGTTCATTACTACCCACACAAAACATTCGAGGAATTTTAAACGTTTTCAAATATATTATTACAAATACTGTAACTTTCATTATTTTTGCTATCTTGTTACATCTGAGCAAATCAAATGTAAAATCATACGAGTAAATCAATTTATCTCCAGAACATTAACAATTGTCATTTCATTTCGAATTCAATTTCAAAAATATTTGCCTAATTTACACAAAATTGAAAAAGTGCTCCCGTATAGTCACAGTCTAAACGAATTTGCAAATAATTCTGTGCCACATTTTCACTTATACTGTGCTTAGCTTGGTGGCATTTTCACATTTTTCAATAGTTTTCACAAAATTGGAAAAGTGCTCCAGTACATAAACAGTCTAAACGCACTTGCGGAAACATTTGTACCAGAGTGGCGCTTAGACCGTGTTTAGCCTTAGTAATTTTTGAATTTTTAATCCAAAATTACAAAAATATTTAAAAAAAAAATTGGAAACAAAAATTTTTTTTTGGAAAAGCAAATATTTTGTTGAAACAAGCAGAAAGTTCATTGAATCACTTAAATCGAAAACTTAGTTCTCTCAAAAACTGCCATTTTTTTAACATTTAGCTCTGTATCTCCGAAACCGAATAACAATATACACAAATTCTAAATTTTCACCCTCCAACTACAAACTTTAATTATATACACGTTAAATGGTTTTTCACACGAACAATTGTATATAAAATGCTTCCAAATTGATGAAATATCCCGTTAATTTGTAATAGATTAATTTTGTGTTAGTTCAAATAGTAATGATATAAATTTAATTAAATTAAAATGTTTGGCATTTTAGTATTTTATATTCCCTCATGGTCAACACCATATATACGAGGTCTGTTCAAAAAGTACCCGGAATTTTCGTTTTTTCAAAAAAATATTTATTTATTCGTCTACATTAATGTGGTCCCCTTCAAAGTAGTCCCCCCCAGATATAATACACTTATGCCAGCGTTTTTTCCAATTTTCGAAGCACCCTTGATATTCACTTTTTGATATGTCCTTGAGCACTCTCAGCGATTCGGCCTTTATTTCTTCAATCGAGGAAAACCGCCGTCCTTTCATGGGTCTCTTCAACTTTGGGAATAGGAAAAAGTCACACGGAGCCATATCTGGTGAATTTTTGCACTTTGCAACACTTTATTTCATTTTTACGCAAAATTTAATAC